GACTTGATCAACCCCATCCTCGAAGGATATTTATACCCATGCGAGTAATCTTTCCAACACAAATTGTACCAAGGAGAGAACACTTTATTAAATTTTCTGTCCGTCTTATGATTTTCATTGGCCGGTACGCTACATCTTTTTGTTGCAATATAACTAATTCAGTGTTTCAGGGAATTTTTGTTTTGATGTTTGTGTAATCAATGTAAAAAATAATTGATATTAGAATCGTGCTCTATGCTTGTCATGACTACAGGAAACTGGCAAACGATGTCCGTGTATGGTGTTGTGAGTGTGCGTGACGTATCTGGGGCAATTAGCCTCGTGCTGCGGCTTGAAATTTTGTGGAAACACACTCATTTTGAGTGCGAGCAGTACATCTTCAAATGAAATACATGAACACAGAAAACAAACATAGACATGAGATCAATTTCTGTGAAGAACCTACAGAAAAATTTCTGACGGCAGTACTTTTTTGACTTGCAACTGTAGAGCTGCATTCGTATACGATGTACATGTAGTAGGACACTCGCAACCCTTATTGGCAGCAACTGTGCACTGACTGGTTGCCGCATTTCCCTCATGCCTTCTTTGGCAATGGTTCCGCCTGGTGGGAACTAGCGCGATGCACTGCGCACGTGTCTTCACCACTGTGATTCACAAATGTTTGTTATAAATGGGTAGTCAACAAATGGTTTTTCAGGCAAAGGAATCACAAAAACCATTCGTTGTAACAGGAATTACTTACAATGCAATTTCACTGTAACAGATTTTTTCCCCATAGAGATGTGACCGGAACCACAGACTTGTATAATATAATAATGAGAGTCAACTGTTAACTTTTTCAGCCCATTTCGGAAAATGTACAATGCAATTTGTAAAATAAAATTTCAATTTAGCATAGATTTTGAGAACGACTAAAAATCTGGTTTCATTTCGCAATAACAAACATCAACTTGCTTTTGCATCCTTCAAATAAGTGAACGTGCATAAAGTTTCATTAAAGAGGTTACAATTACATGACTGGGATTTCGGATAGATATATTCCCTGCCAATAACTAATAATGTGCATTCTTAACGCTGAAAATCTGTCTTTTACTGTGTCCCTTCCGAAGAGAGTATTCATTTTAATTTGCTGTAATTTAAAATCACAAAATATACGTTAAATTTAATTAAAATATATATACAGGCTTCACAAATCATGACCCACTTTGGTACCAAATGTCATGTTACTTATTTATACTAACACTATAAATAAATTTTTTTTTTAACAGTTTGATAAACTGTAAAAAAAAATTTCAGGTTTCTATGATTGAAACGCAGCACAGGAAGGAAAGTTTCCTCAACGCTGGTTTTTAGGTTTCCTGCGATAATCGCTAGTTTCCAATGACCGTATGAATAGTTTATTTCAATCATGAATATTCAAACATATAACCAAATCAACTGAATACTTCCAAGATTGTAACTTTGGTTAGTACACAAATAAATTCTCATTCTTGACCAGGCATACTTTAAATAAAATACAAGTGAAATCGCCTGCATATTTTGCAAAATAGCTTGAGTTCAAATTAAAAAAATGCAGGATTGCAGAAGTGCGATCAATTTGGCGCAATAATGAATGTCAAAAAACTAAACCAGTGCAATGTTTAGGAAATTTAACGCTGACTCTATACGACTGAATGCACACTCCTTGAAATAGAATCGTTACATAGAAACAGGAATATGTGCGCTTGTACGTGGTGCCTTGTGGGGTACCGGAACAATGGAAGGTAAACCACAAGGCCAGTTTTGAACCTTGTGGAGTACTAAGTGGCACCCCACAAGAATTTCACAAAAAGAGATATTTGAAATTTACTCAAAAAGGAAGAATTTTCAAGCGCCATTCATCTGTCGCAAATTGAAGTGTTTGTATAAGGGATATACACTGTATGGTCAAAGTTTCAACCCAGGAAACTAAATTTGGTTGAAATGGCAGTGATTTGAAATGTTTTCCTGTGTTGTGTGGGAGTTTTGTACACGAGAACAAAGGCAATACCCCACAAGTATACATATGTAAGGGTGGGTGTGTGTACACATGCACGGTAGTCCATACAATGATTGTTTGCTCTCCACACATACGTTTGTTGGTAAAAAAAGTCCACACATTGTCAGTTCCAAGCCCATCATGAACAATTCATAAACAATATGGTAACGCTCCTTGGGTTTGGGGCATGAGAGTTACTGTTATTGGAAAAACTGAAAGCTAAATGTCTTGAAATTAATCAGAGTGCTCCATTCCATTTTGGTAGCAAGCCCCATATATTGGGCACAAAAGGGCTTGCAGATTGTTCAAGTACATAATATTGTTCATGAATAAACAATATGGTAACAAATCCTTGCATTTTGGGCACGAGTAACTGTTGGAAAAACAGAAAACTGAATGTCTCGAAATTGGAGATTATGTTCAACAAAACTGGGCTTCGGTAGGGAGCTCTGATATTGGACCATACCAATATCTTCAGTGACAGTGAGGTGATGTATCACATGAGGTAAACTTTCATGTTTTTATGAATAAACTAGTTTTAAACAAGTCGAAATTCTCCTTTTGAGTGTAAGTTATGGTTATGTATCTATTTATTTACTGATTGAGTTTAGGGTTACCGAGTATTGGCAGTATGTATATTACCTATTCATATAGACAGTTCCAACAGCTCCATGCTTTACATAATGTTCTCTGCACCGGTTAACAGTTGCGAAATTTGAACGAATTTTTTCCCTAAAGATCCTCTGTACGGACCATCTTTGGAAAAAACATGAAATTTCTGTTTCCTCGAAAATGACAGCATTTCTGGCGGTAAAATTTTACTGTTTGTCTGACACTATTTATGTACTTTACAGCAAGACATTTTTAAGATAATTCGACAGTTGCATTTTTGAGATCTTGCAAATCCTATAAACACCCTTTAGACTTTACACACAGTCAAAGCTACACAGCCCAGGCAGTAAAAGGCATCTTTCCAACATCACTATAAAGTGGTACGATAAAAATTAAATAGTCCCCTGTCTCTGAAAATGGTTGAGCAGATACACGCACACCCAACATATGGACGTACACATATTTATTCTCATACCATTACAACATCCCAAAAAGTGGTGAAAAAGCTGGTCTTTGAAATTTGATTAGAAAAAGGCTTGTGCAGACATGGGCTATGTGGCTTAACAATTTCCAGATGCTACGAGCATCTAAGCTGGAGTTACTAAAGCTTACCTCACAGTAAACGCACTTTAATCATGATGCATTGAAAATAAAATATGGCTGTTCCATGTCAAGATACCTAAACTGCTGCAAAATATTTGGAAGAGCCCATTGGTACATGTAGAATCTTATCGCTCAGTCCGTGTATTACATATGTCTCAACAAGGAACAGCCGTCGAGACGATGAGGGGTGAAGTGGCGCAATGCTCAACGACCTTACTTTAAAGATGGTGACTGAGAAAGCGAGCCGGTTAGATTGAATGGATAAAGGCAAAAAGACTGGAAAAAACCTGAATAACGAGAGTTAAATCATTATACTATAGAAAGCGGAAAGGTCAAGAATCATGTTCGTGTGAAAAGAAATTGTACCTATGATGATAAGTGGGTGCACCGGAATGTTCAAATATCATAAATTTCATACGAAATTGCGTATACAGATGTGTGGCTAAGGATAGATCTGGAGTGGTAGTCCGTGCCACACAAGTGGGGCTAGGCCTAGTTGTGCAACAGGCCTAGGCTACTAACTATACGTGGCATGAATTACTCACAACCCCTCCCGGATATGGCACAACAAAGAAAAAATGCGAGTCATGAATGTTAGCCTGATTAGATAGGCCCCAAGCCTTATGTAAGAAAAGAATCTGATCGCACCTGCAGATTAAGTAGTCTTACTGCTGAATGCACGAAATATATGTACTCTGGACCATAGCAAACATCACAAAAACGAGCAAAATGAGACTTTTCAAAATAATGTTAGGACTTGTTAAGGTAGGTAATTCGTCAGAGTGCCGGCGTACGGTTTGCACAAACATTTACGTCTTTATTGCCGGAAAATGAGAATATTAACCAACATTCAACCAACAACCAGAGGTTCTCCGTACAAACAATTACACTTCCTAACCATTACACCTAATAATACTTACGTTTCGGTACAAATTGTAAGAAAAAGCTTGAATTTCAACGCGATAACTCGCCTCTGACGAGATGCACGAAGTAAAATATATTGCGTAGCGAGTTTAGCGTCAGATTATATAGTCAGTGTTCAGGTAATTCTATTGGCCAGACTAAATCACATGATCAAAATTGGAGTCTCCAATTGGTGAATAAAAATAGAACGTGTCTCCAAGCGGAAGCAAACCCGACCTGGTTCCCTGCAAAATGAATATCAAACGCCACGCCACTCAGAGAACCACTTACATGACGTCATGGTTATTATAAAATATGAGTGACTAAGCACGGGCGTGAAATCGGTCCTTCTCGAAGTTCATTGTGTTAGATGATATAACAATTTATTTGCTCAGTTGAGAATAAAAATCAAACAGTTTTTCGAAATAAAAGTTCTTGATTTAATAAATCCTTAGCCTTTCAAAAGTGTCTTCAAACCAATACTGATATTTAATTCATACACGATAGCCATAGGCCTTTTTTTGGAAATGATCGGAAGGACTGGATCGACGACTAATCGAAAAATAATTCTTGCCAGGAATCCATAGAGTTTCCAACTACACCTAAAATGATTTCCCACTTGGACTGATTCAACGGAAAAGGAATTATTAAAATTTTCAAGGACACTTTTCTTCCATAGAAAAACCCTGCTATATGGGCGGCCAACGTTTGCGGAAATAGGCCAGTACCATCCTAGGTTGATGTACTGAGATTTCACCCTCAAAGTGTATTTTTCCTAGTAAGGAGTTTGTATTTTCATTGAGTGAAGTAGTAATCAAAAATGGTGGCTTGACATCGGCATGAGTTTTTAAAAAATAATAATTTATCCTCTTGTTTATGTACTACGGTCCACCACAGTTACTGGCCAAGGTTAGCGAAGATTGATGCGATTGTGATGTGACGGTAGGCCTATAAAGCAGTGGGTGTCACGTGTTGTTAATGTAAAACGGACCTGAGGTAGGTGAGTTAAAGTTCATGGTTTCGTCTCCGAATGAGTCACACCATATATGGACAAAAGCCAATGTGCCAAACACTGATCTATAGAGATCAGTGGTGCTAAACCTCACGTGTCACTTCCCGGGAAAACGATATATGAACAGGCTTCGGCTACAATCATACAAACACCTGTTCCGTTTTCTTCTTTTGATAGGCCTACTTTTATATAACCCTAGTAATTCTTTCTCGGAAAGAGATTGATCAATAAAGCATGTCGATTCTCCAAAAAATATATATATTTCCCCCCAAAATACAAGGTATATAAAATAGGGGAAAGAGTTCTCCTGAGTTCCAAGAAAATGTTAATGTCGGTAAACCGATAAAAGTGCCGACTGTCACTGCATCAACCCTTATCTATTATGTCTGTGTCGGTATTCTACCTGAGTTGAAGTGCACTCTCTCCCTCCGGCGAAAGAAACACAGGCTGGTGAGAATTTTTAAACCTGGTCCTTGCACGCGTTTTATGCGCGCGCGCGAAGACCATTCCACACCAGTATAAATTCGTTGCGCGTGCTCAGCGTACCCCGAGCCAAACGCGCATACACGTACACGTACATGTACACTAGAGTACTCGCGCGCCTAGGCTACGCGGTGAGTTCCTACCAAAGGGCCGTCTTTTCATTTACAAATACAGTGACGCCCTCTTTCGTTCCTGCTCGGAGCGAATTCAGTGGCAGAAACTGGTGTCGATTTTTTTCATAAAATACGGTGACCGGGGATGGGAACGTGGGGTGGCGCAAGACCGCAGCAACAACATCGGAGTTCCACTCGTCGCCCAGCGCCCACTGATGGCCGCGTCCAAAGTGTCGGTCTATTTGATAAAAACATGGCCTTGATACAATTCACGGTACTTCATCCTCTCACTGAGCATCACTTATCACTTGTCTTTTGGGAATAAATTTTAAATCATTGGATATCTTGATCAATTTGGATGAACTAATGAAGTGTAAAGAAAGCGAAAAATCCGTGTGACCCCGTGTGACAAATTTCCTACACAGATCTGTGCAAGGTCGTACGCCCTCCTCCCAAACCCAGCGCCTTAATTGAGGCCGGTTCGTCCGGCGGCGAATTTTTTTCGTAGGTTGTGGAGTGAAACGCCGTAAAATTATTCAGGAGGCCTACTCATGAATAAGTGATTTCTCGATGGCGGAAAAGCTATCTCAAAATTATTTTATCACATTGGGTTGTATTGTTTTCGCTAAGGTCGGCAGCAACGTCAAATGAGTTTTATTAAAAGTTCTATAAACTTTACCCAGGAAACAGAATAATAACAAGTTAATAACCTTTTATCCCCAAAATGTGGGCCGATTGACGCAAATTTATTCAGAACTTATTCAGAACAGCAATAACGACATTGTTTGATCAGTTAAAGCCTCTTCAAAACATGCAATATCTGACCTGAAGTGATCAATGTTTTATGCATTGATTAGGGAAAAAAATCACATCTTGGAACCATTAAATCTAATAACACACTGTCTTCAGAGGACAATCAATACAAATGTGTACTTCTATATAATCCAACCCGAGCTTTGAAAAAATGATTATGATAAAATTAGGAATAAACATTGTATAAAAAATTGTAATCAAAATCTGTAGTTAATTATGAACTTAATTATGTGTTTAAATGAAACTTTCCTTGTCAAAAACAATTTGAATACAATTATACATGCTATAATAAAAGCTTTGCTGGCTTTGTGCTTTTGCCTTACTTACGATCAGGAAGGATACTTGATGAACATAGAAATGAGCTTAATTCTTGAGACATTCATCTTTAACTACGAGGTAACAGTCATGATTAGTAGTGGAAGTTTGGAGAATTTCCACGGTACGAATATCCTTATTTTTTTTCCTGATTCCGATTGCAAGATGATTTATGCAAACAACTTTAAGGTAGTAACTTTCTGACCTTTGGGGTTACTTGGGTAAAAGTATAACTGACTTGATTTTGAAAAAAATTTACAATCACAAAAATCGGAAAGTGAAAAAAAGAATCATATATGTTTTATATCATAAACTAATATACATGTACAATTTTTTTCAATTAAATGAGGAAAAAAAAGACTTTAAAAAAAAATGCAACCTTTTAAGCACTACTTATTCGGAAATCATAGTTCAAATTTAAGCTCTGACCAACATACCCTTAATCAATTAATATTAATTAATTGGAGGTTCCTATTCTCCAGCCTGTTTACTGACTGGCACCCTGCACTCCAGAGGGGGCTTTTGCCACAAGGCAACAGCACCTCGGGGAATTAATATCAGTACGGCAGACATTTCTGCCGGAATATGTTAGAGCCGTTTTCTTCATACTCTTGTCTGGTGATCCAGCACGGATCAAAAGTTGGAAGCAAGGAGATGATGGATCCACCCACCCAGTTGGAGAAGTGACGATAAGGTGGCGCATTCACATTAACCTGGGGGGGGGGAAGAGAAAAAGAAAAACCACACATATGTTCACAGTTGGACGTAAGGGTTGCTCGTCGACCAGCTTGGACAAATGAACACTGGGGACAGACCTACTCAAGCAATGGTTTGACATAAAAATACTAATATTCAGTGCATATAGCCTCACACACTTGTACTTCTGGGTTCCTCAGTTGTCCTATTATTTGTTCTACTCAATTCCCAAACTCTATGACATCTTCCATGTGGGGCAGGGCATTATTCTTTGTGGGTTCACTTTGGTTCCTCCTCCCACAGGGATTCCCCTTTAAGACTATAAGCAAAGACACAGCCAGAAATTAACAGTGGGAGTGGCCTTGGCTATTCCAGTGGGCCAGGACAGACAACATTGGAGTTTCTTGCAACAATCCTCTCCTTCTGTAGTCTCTGATGGATCAATTTCACAAGGGAGTGTATGCCGGAATTTACATTCAAATTGTGGACTTTCAACACAAAGGATGATAGTGCTCAGTTGAGTGAAGGTCCACAACAGGAAAAGTGCACATATCAGGTGGAAGCTTTTTTGGGTAAAAGGATAATGTGTTTTCACACATGTGCATGTTTTCCAAAGTTTTCAGTTTAAGTGAGGCTGTGACCGAGTTCATCATGAGCAGAAAGCCGTGACACCAGGTTGGGCATTTTCTGAATCACTATCAAAGATGGAGGCAACGTTTTTCTTGGAAGTAGTGTTTCACACCCATACGTGTTCCACAGTTGTATCACACACGTGTTGAAATATAAATGTTATAGGGCCCCAAAATGTTATGGAACAATTGTTTGTTCTCCTTTCCTAGGACAAGAAATTGTTGTCATGACCCCTCAACATGGTGAAGGCTTACTCACATAATCCCAAGCTGGGCATTGATTACTCCTAAAAAGTGGGTCAGGGACATGGTCTACAAAGGCCAGCAGGGTTAAGGGCCTTGATGGTGACATTACATTTAAGTACTTAAAAACAAACGTGGGGGGGGGGTTGGAAGGGCACATCCCCTTTCCACCACATGTTGATGCCTCTAAATCCCATTACTACAGTACATATACGCAAATAATGTGTAGCATTCATTCCTTGTTCAATGAGCTAGTTCTGTATTCCAGCAATGAATGCCCAACATGAAGCAGAAGCATTTCCAAGGTCTGCCCTATTAGTGCAGCCTCATATAATGTGGATGCGCATGCATGCTTTGTGCCTGAATGACCTTGCTCTTTTGAAATACCAAACTGGCTCACTAAAAAAGTACATGCATGCCCCATATAGTCATGTTTCTTCACACTTCTTCAGTAGGCTGCTTAGACAACAAGGCATATTATAATAGCCTAAACGACAACCATGTAAGTGCCACTGCTCCATTGAACATGAAAGAGACGTAACTCTGAATAGTCATATCCCTTCTCTTAGTTTTATGTATTTGCGGTAAAAAAATCTTCCCCCTTTTCTAAACACTTAGTCATCCATTCCATCAACAGAGAGCATGAAAAAAAAGTTGTGCACGCGCACAACCATATTTCGCTTTGAAAAAGTGGTGCGTACAGTGGAGTATTAAACATCATGAATGTCTGATTCTCTTACCGTCATGAATGACAAAAACTTGACTCTGTCAACCTCTGCTGTCAGTCTCTCTTGCAAGCCCCTGATCATGGTGTTTCCTCCAGCTAAAAGGATTTTCTTGAGATAGAACTCATCCATCCAGTCCTCATCATCAGACAGCTCAATGCTTTCCATGATAGCCTTGGTCAGACCTGTCATCCAGGAAAAATCAAATTACACGTCTGTATAAACTCTCCCCAAATTAAACGTCACTGCAATTGATGCTCTGCAGAGACAGTACAGCACAAAATTACAACTGAAAACTATCCCTCACCACAAAGATTGGTTATTAATTTACAACTGGTGACTGTAAAAGAGGGCCCGTAACAATCAGCAGAATCTCTCTTGATATTTTTTGCTTTTCAGAAACATTCCACAAGGATCATGACACTGGGCCTTCAACCTTTCATGATTCCTAGCAAATTCAGCTCACTTAATGTGAATGATGTTCTAAGTCAGTCTATTCATCCTCTGAATCATCCTTTTAAATAGCTCCACATTTGAACTAACCAAAACAGGACAGACCCAGAATGGATGGGTCAAAAAGAGCCTCTCCAATCTTGGCTCCAATTTCCCCTGCATCAATGGAATACTGCTTGCCGCCAACATCCAGCATGACCATTTTCTGGGGTGGTTTGTCGCCTTGAGACATTTGGAGATACCCGTGTTCTTCTTTGAACTTTTCAGCGAGCTTAAAGTCCACTGTCTTGATGTCAATATCATGTTGCTCCCTCAGTGATGCAGCAATGAGTGCTTGGGTATATTCAGTCAATTTGAAACCGGTATATGTCAGTGGTACCCTTCCAAAAGTTGGCCGGTGCCCATCACGAGCTGTCATCACATTTGTAAGACCATGGCCAGATTGAATGACCAGACCAGTCGCCTGGCCAATGGAGTACAGTGACAGCATCCCTTGGTTGGAAAGATTCACGGCGGGTGCCTTGAACCCCTCAAACAAAATCTCGAGGCTGGTCTTACGGCACTTGTGGGGGTTCCCGTCAGGCTCGCTGAGGAGAACGGAGTGATTGGTAGGATCAATCTTCATCTTGCCTTTGAAAATGTGCTCCAAAAGCACCTCCATGCTGTCCCAGTTCTCAATGTATCCATTGCGAATTGGGACAGGTACTTCGCCAAGATCACAGTTCATAAAAGGCTCAGAGGTCCGGAACACAAAATCCGGAACCCGCTTAGAAATCTCAGCCAGGCCAGCTTTGCAGTTCAGTGTGCCACAGTCAAGCACAACTGGGGGAGTGTCGCCACTATTCATGGTGTCTGAAGACTTACATCAAACACCAAAGTTCACTCAAAATATTCTGAAACTGAGGAAGAGAAAGAAAGCTTATCAAATTTTACCATCACAATCATATTATTGATTTTACAAGCAGCGAAAACTCTTTTCTTGATATCATTTTGTTTGACATTAATACGAGATATTGAAGCCATAATCCCCTATGAAAATTTTGAAAGAAGTTTCAAACATAGCAGAAATGTTTCTCAGTTACGAATTTATTTTGGGAAAGAATTTTGGTTCGACTTACAAAAGGTCAGGAATTAACCAAACGCTGAGAAAACAATGCTAACACATTCTCAATTTCAAGCTGTATAAATACCAGGTAGGTCCTCTTTACAAGCCTGTACAGCCTATGTGAGGCCCAACAAGAATGCGTTAAGACACCCCATTATATCCACATATATGTACTGGGTTACACAGGCACATACTGTATACAAAAGGAACAGTCCTACATGTATGCCAGATTTCATCAAAGTTTACTGGCATACATGTAAAGATGGTTTTGCCTAGTGTTCAGAGTTTATCATGATGCATCTGCATGATGGAGTAACTAGTTTAGTTGGGAACCATGGGAACTCTTGAATGTGAGTCACGTAAAGGCCAATTCATGCCTTGCATGAAGGTGAACAAAAACACAATTCTGTGGCATCAGTATGTCATGCTGCAAACTGGAACACATTTAAACAAGCAAATTTCACTGGAAACATTTTGTGATGTTAAATTTGTTTCACTTTCATTCCCATGTATGACATTAGGAAGTTCACAATTTCCAAAAGTCATACACGTATGCGGTTTCCGAATTTTGATCAAGGGGAGATTTCTGACCATAACTTGGTGTTAATTATCATGTTAGTCCAAGCTACAGAATTGGTACCAACTTCTTGCAGCTAGAAGGCACCACACAGAATGCCATGTCCCAACTCAGTTGAGCATAAAGCAAGGAACCCATGGTCCAAGAATATAGTTCTAGTGACTAGAAGTTGATTAGTGTTGATGTAGAACTCTACAAATAGCCTATTTTACTATTTGGTCATGACCTAGTAACACTAAAAAAGTCAGTTTTTGGTGAAGTCCTGGTTTCTTAATCTTAGACCATCTTGAATGAGCCCAAAGTGGCTGATTGTCTCCATTGTAAAAGTTGCAACCATCGGAGGACTTTCTATCCCTTTCTCCATGACCAGACACAGGACTGCCTGCAGAAAGAGTTCCATACATGGACAACACTAATTTTCCCTTAAAATACTATAACAGTCATCAGAAAGTGATAACATGTCCTAAAGAGTGAAATTTGGCTATGGAAATTCCAATGCATTTACTTAGAATACACTTTTTCAGACTAGTCCCATACTCTGCACGTACGCAGGAGCATCAAGGGTTGTCCATACATAGAACTCTTAATTCCATCTGGGCCCCAGCTTCATCCCACACCCAGTAAAAATGTGCAAATCTATATTGTGAACTTGTGATGATGAGAGTCTTTTCAAATGGAAACTGCATGCCTTTGTGCAAAAGAAAGTTAATCAACTTTGCTCACTCTGCATACCTGCTGATGCCGAATTCCTGGATGCTGAGGCCAAGAAGTAATTTTAAGGACAGATCCACAGGAGGTAGTCCAGTGATTAATGGGGCCCCCATTAATGACAACCAGTAAAGGCCTGAGGCGTAACACCTTGGCCCACTTAACTTATCTCCCCAATTTGTGGGGACTAAACTCAGAGTAAACAGTAAAAGGTTAAAGTACAGTTGGCACTACTTTATCTACTTTACTTATACCACGGTTGAGTAAGAAACTGGGCTTATTGTAGTTAGTCTAGGCATGTGTTCCTATATAGCTCTATAGTCCAGGTAACCATGGAGGAAGGAGGGGAACCAAGACATTACAATTAAATAGCCTCTTTTACTACATATTAAGTGTGGACATCGCTGACCATGTCCAAAAAGAGGCGGTTCTACATGTAGGCTTAGGTCTTAAACTTAAGACCCATTTTGGCAATTTTTGCCATCATGAGAAAATGATGAGGAAGGAAAACATAAAGCCCATATATCTGCGCTATCAAAGTCTCTCCGAGTTTTCAACATTGGAACAGTATGTGCAAATTTCCATGTCTGGCCATCACGATCTTGAAAAAGGAATCAGGATATTGGACTTGATAGATTTGCGGAAATTGCACACATCACTCAACATACCTCGTGCCAGTGCCAAGGGTGTCGATATGTACACGGTCCATGTACACGTATATACACATGCAGTGGACAACCTAGAACCCATCCACGTCTGATATTTCGGGACTAGACTAGCGGCTGCAGCTACTGTCCACGGACGCGTGTTACTTGCAGCCGCAGTCGCTTATTCAGATGATGAACTTTAAGGGCGCCGCGAGGGCGCGCGCGCGCGACTTACATCGGTTGGTTCCTTGTAATCGTTCACAGGACACTCTCTTGTTCGACGAGAAAATATTAGTTCACCGTCACATTGCTCCATCCAGTGACGAGGTTGAAGTATAACAACGCGCGACCGGTCGACCGGGCACGGCGATCACATAGTGTATAGTACAGTATATGTACGTAGGCTACTTGAATGTTGACATGATTGAAGCAATGAATGATTACGTTGTACTTCTGCATATCGCATGTCTACTTGAATTCAAGACTGAGCAAGATTTGAAGTACTTGTAGGCCTACCTTGCTCACGTCAGTGTTCTACTTGGAAAGTAGGTAAAGAGACACTATGCACATTATAAGCAGATAAGAATTACGGATGTTTGAAAATAGGGCAGTTGTGGAATTTAACGACAATAACTGACAACGTTCTAGCCCCACTAAATTAGTAATGGCACGGACTCTCGATAGGCCTACCGCCCCATCCAAAAGGATGGAGTTGACCATGTTGACGTACTTGTTATGAATGTAGGCCTAGGCCTAATCATGTACTCGCCTGCGCTGCGTAGCGCTGGTGGGGTAGGCGGCGGTGACACCATAACCAGTTACAATTTGACACTGTTTGAACGTGTTGTGTTAATCAGCGGGATTTTATCCTTACAAGCCATAAGACTCAATTCCTTGTGCCAATAATGAATCGGAAAATTCACTGAATTTCCGATGCCGTTGGCTAAAACACAGTATCTAGGTAGACCTGTGTTTATGTGTGGTGGGGATTGTATACTTGCATTCGGGGAAGAAACGGGTCAAGTCGTCCCCAAGATGGAAACCCTGGTCAAGTTGTCCCCCACTAGTTGTGTTAGGCCTAGTTATATATATCTGTGCCTGTACTAATTTTCTTTTTAGGTACATTAACATGATCAACCATACGTAGAAGAGAATGGAAAACAAGATAGACAGACGGAAGATTCGTACTCATTCATTCACAATTTTCATTTGTATAATTTTTACAATTCACAGTCTGTCATTAAAATCACACAAAAAGTTCCTTGTTTTGCCCAGTGTGTAAAAATACAAAGGCAACACTCTCCCTTTAATGGGCTGACCCTATTTTGTGGAAATTTCAAATTGTAATTTGTGAGAAAATGTGACCCTCCTAATGATAAACCAGCCATTAACCTGATAGCAAATACTGCATGGGTGATTTTGCATAATGGTAGAAAGGCATTGTGGGAAGGAAAAAGGAGCAAACATTGAACCTTTTGCCTACCCCAGTGCCTTTCTGCCATTATACAAGATCACACATGCAGCATTTGCGATAAGGCTTATGCAAATTTGAATCCACCATGTCCATGTGTCATGTGTTAAAATACTTACAGTTCCCCTCATAATTTTCTTCAAAACTCAAAACCCTGCCCTTTTTTTTACATCAACCCTACGGTTATTGAGCATGATGTCACAGTCATCTACCAAGGTCAGTGCAAAAGTTAAAATGTAGCTCTCCCTGTTATTGGAACAGGGTCCCCAAATTTACAATCCCCATGTGGTAGGCCTTGGCCTATGAGCATATAGAACAGCGCGGACATCCAGGAGCTTCACAAAATGGTGGGTAGTAACCACACTGCATCGGCGAAACTACTTTCAGTGACTTGCAGCCATTTTTGTTTATATGGGGCCATAAAGCCAGGCCTACCTATTTTTTGAATGCAGCTTTTGAGGTAAATAGTCATTTACCTCAAAAACTGCATTAAAAAAACAGAGTGGTGACGCAAATTCTGCTTTTTCAATTCAAATTCTCCTGAAAGAGCAACTTGTGAAGTACTGTAGCTATTGAAAACAGTGTAACAGTGGTTTTTAGCGCATAAGATCAAATTTTTTTTGGGGGGGGGGAAATTGGAGTTTTTACACCTGTTTGCTACCAGATGATCGCAAAATACTGCACACTCTGTGTGCCTCCATGGCACACACGTGATGGCGGCCGCAGGCCAGTGGCTGAGCTACTTGTAGATGTTGGTTCAATCATTTTTGGAGGTGGGGGTATTTTACCTGGTCACAGCTACAGCTAGCACAGTGCAAGTTGCACATCCTGTTGGTATCGGTCCTGTCAGACAGCTAGGCCACTCATGCGATAAACACAAGATTCCAGTTTCCGCCTCTGAGAGCTACATGTGTAGGTACCTCACAGTTGCTCTCTAGGGAAAAGTTGAATTGTAACAGCAGAATTTACGTCACCAGTCATCCACCTCAAAGGCTAGATAGTGTTATGACCCCGTGTAAACAAAATGGCTACAAGTCACACAGAGTAGGGACTTGCAGTTCTGCAGTTAAATGTTGGACAACTCCGCCGCTAACAACTCAACGCTGTTACGGTCCATATTAGGCCAACGATGTCGTAAATGGCCGTGCAAAATGAACTTTGATTAGATGCTGATCAAAGTCAGACTCTTTCTCGATTGAAGGCAACTCTAGAGGGAAAACTGATTTTGCCAGGCGGGCCGGTGCGGCAATCTAGTGCACAACAAGATTTGGTTTGAGCGGTAGCCCACTTTGCCATTTGATTATGTTTGATCGAAGTTGTAGTGTAGATACATTGTAATGGAATATTGCCAGATCTCTAAGTTGTTCGCAAATCTCAAATAACAAAATGCCGTTATTCATTAGAAAAAGACTGATGGAAAATCTCCCCTTTAGCCACGTGGGTGCCGTCCTGGGAAAGAATGCTGAAGGTTCTTCGAACACATCGAAATCCATAGTTTGATAGTTGAATCTGTTTCGTGAAAAATAACAAAAACACGATTCACTGGAAATCTAATTTTATCTTGTATCTTTTGAAGGAGGAAACGCCTATTTGAGCATGCCATTTTTTTCTGTTTTTACATATCCTACGATTGTTTTGTTGAGTCAAGCATTGTCCAAATACAACTGCTCTTGGTCTGTAAAACACGGTCAGAAGCTGTCACTGCGACAGTAACTTTCTAGGGAATTTTAACTCCTAAATATACTTTGGGGAACAGTTTGGAAAAAAAAAATCATGTTCACATCGAAGTTACTTGTGGATGGGATGGAGACGAGATTTATTGCTTGAAAACGGAAGTACTATATACAACACATACGTTCGTAGCAAGCTCTTCGATATCTCGATGAGCATTGTACATGTACATGTCCGAACCCAAACGGAACCAAAGTTTGGCAAAAAATTTCCGTACCGAACCTGGGCACCTACTTGTAGCACTAGCATGATGTGTGCAGGGACACAGTGATGCACTTATGGACTGGTGGGTGGCGTGTCGGCTGCCCCCAACCAGCATGGTGTGAGGCTGTGATGCTGATGCGGCATGCATGGTGGTGTAGCACACCATCTGCGGTACACAGGCTCTGGTGTGGGGGTAAATCTGCCTCCCAATCAGGGAGTTGTTTCTTTTTCGTTCCTTTCTCTTTCTTAATTGGGAAAAAAAGTGAGGGCAAAGTTACATGTACATCTTGACTTCTCTCAATCAACGACTTGTCCCAACGGTCAAGTTGTCTGTTGATTTGAGGGACAGATGGTCGAGTTGTCCCACTATTCCAGTTATCTCAATGGTCAAGTTGTCCGAGTTGAGTTGGCAAAGGTTTGAGTTGTCCAAGTCCCCACATGAATAACTGCAAGCGTAAAGTACCCTTGCCATTCCTGCAGTGATATATCAGCCATAAGAAAGTCATAACATGTCCTAAAAAGTCAATTTTAGCAGGGAAAGTATTGAAGCATTTACTAAGAAAGCACTTACGTGAAATATTTTTCAGACCAGTCTTATCCCCATAGCCAAACACTAGCCGAGGTTAGATGCCAGTCCTCAAGCTTGGTAGCTTGGTACATTACATTATGACGGTAAAGTATGGTCAAAAGTCCACCTGGGCTAGCTTCATACTAGGTTTGTGCATGGGGTGTCACATGATGCTCATGTATGGAACCCTTGTCATGTTCGTCTACCCCCAGAATTGTGGGGCTCATTGTCTGCTGCGCTGCTTGTGGGAATGCAGCAGATGGTGAACCCCACATTTCTGGGGTTAATGTTTACCAGGTTCATTGAGCATAATTTTACGGGAAAGCTATGGCCTGGCATGATAAGCAAAAAGGCTACAATTGTCTTACCACTAGTTAAAAACCATAATACATGCAGTGTACTCAACATTTGGACTGATGGTAGCCCATGTCTGTGACCAAATTGCTTGACCTACAGTAACCTTCAGTAATCTAGTCCTAGCATGCCTACAGTTCTGGCCAAATGTCTTTTTTCCTTTGTGTCAGAAACATGCAGATATCTCTACTTGCAGAGTTCCAATCTCTGAAGGCACACCGAGTGTAAACACATCAGGTGTTACCTTTTGGCCGGTCTGTGTAACCACTCCAATGGAGTTTGACTATGAACATTTTAGCGAAGCCAGTTATGAAGACAAAATGTCAGTTTTCCAGTACACACAAAAAAGACAGATCGGCAAACCACCCAGAATATCGCGGAAGCTGGATTCGTTTGCAGCAAGAAAGTTACCCTATCTTCTCAAGGAGAAAGAGATACCCCTAGGAACGACCAACAAAGTCTTTGCTTCGGAGTGGCTGTCAGACCGACAGATTATCTTCGGAACTAAGTGCAATAAGGTAAAAAACAATAGTGCTTTCATGTACTTAATGTTGGACAAGCCACAACAGCAGAAAACACTCAAGCCGAATTTTCACTCACTGGGTGAAAACTGCCAAGAGCCATGGTTTTAAATGGAAGTCTGGTTTTATCAGGAAAGCTTTTGCAGTTCACATGACTACATTATTAGACATGGTTATTGTATTGTCATGTTACATGGTGCGCTCTCCAGTTTACTCATATACTAGTATCTTTCCTATGTTTGTTGTTTCGAAGTAAGCAAAATAGGTGACATCTATGTATTTCTTACCATAACATGGCACCCTTGGACTTATAAACGAAGACTCTTGGTGTTTTGGTTGGTTGAATTGTAGTGCCAATCCACAACCAACTTACTCAACATATAGAGATGAATTAAATTGAAATTATTTTGCCATCATGAACTATTTCTTCTTTAACCACAGGTCGTGAACAGTACATTTTACATTTATTGTCATCACTGTGACTGTGTACACATGAAGAGAGATTGAGTTGAACCTGAAAACTGAAAGCTTTTTTGATGTAGCTAATATCGTTCCAAATGCCTGTTCAGCTACTTGTGGTTTTTGATCAGAAGTCTGATATCATTTTTATGTGATTTACTTTTTCTCATCTGCTCCTGATCAGCTGATTGTGCTAGATGTCTACACTGGACAGCAGTGTAGGTTGCCCATTATCAAAAGCAGAACCGGACGTGTCTATGAGAACTGTGTGTACACACAGTCTCTAAGTTTTGGCGGGATCCACAGCATAGCCACAAACCCCAGCAAGACATTGTTGGCCACTGGGGCAGATAACCCGGACAATGTTGCCCTCTATAAACTACCTTCATTTGACCCAGTTTTCCTTGGTGAGGTGAGTGGAGAGGCATTTTGCTCGAGAGCATCACTGCTCTCTAGAAATCAATAAAGCTGACACAAAAGTTATTTTTTTAACTTTATTTCAAAGGTTTGCAATCATTACATTATGTCAAATTCCCTTTGAATTTATTCCTAATCTTATGAGGGGCCTTCAAAGCCCACTAAGAATAGGTGTTTAGTGGCCAGCTACTATTCCTTTCATTGGCCTGGATTTGACGAGAATATTTGAGGATTCAGGAACATTGATTTCAATAACATTTAGACTGTACGTGTAGTTTGCGTTGATACCTAGTATACTCTCATATTGCAGAAAATAGTGTGGTTCAGAATACTATCGATAGGCCACAACACTGCTTGTAGTAATTCAGCCATGCAGAAATGTTCTATATAAATTCTTGACTGGCTTGATTGTTGTAATTGGGCAATCTTGTGTTGGTGAGCTGTCAGTTCAGCTGCTGTCTCCCTCGGTGGTGGCGACTTGACTTTGGCTAAAGAAACCAAGCCAGATATCCTGTCCAAAGACAGATCAGTGGAGTTGTGTTGGAGAATGAGGTTGAGACATCTGCATCTTCTTTCCCTTCATGCTTATCCATGTCATCCTGCGTGAGCAGATAATCTGGAGCTAGTACTATTTCAGGCCTTCGTGATATGTACATAATATGATTATCATATGCCCCTCCCAGTAAACACAAAAACAACACAAGTACCAGAGACATTTCAAAACATTCTTGAAAAGAATTGTTACGCTTGAGTTACAGTGGTAAAAAAATCCTGAAAGTGATTTAGATTTTTAAAACTTTGGTTGAAATAATATATCTGATTAAATAAAAAATCATCAATTGTCGTCTGCCCTGATGCACACCAAGCCCTTGAAGTGTAAATAAGTTTCTTGATTTACATGTCTTTCTTGCAGAACTGTCACGAAGATTGGATATTTGCCATTGCGTGGCTTGATGACCAGTATTTTGTAACAGGTAACTGGCAATGCAATGTTATTTTGCAGCCTGCATTAGGATTTGGCAAAGCTGAAAGCTGACATAATAAGTGCCTATGTGTATACATACACGTAGGTATCTGGCTTGTGTATCTACTTTGTGTTGCGAGAAGTAACTTTGAACCTTGAATTTTGGACAGATAATTTGTTGACCGCGAATATGACATTGTGGCCTTTTTGTCCAGTTGCTTTTTTGTTGCATTCATCTGTGTTCTATTGACATCTTGAAAATTGGCAGATTTTTTCCAAATATCAACAAAGTAAAACTCAATATGTTGCATACTGACATAACCATGTTGAAGAGTGAAATTAGATAAGCACTGTATCTTAATGCTGTAGGTGACAAAATATCAAACAAATGTAGTTACATTTATGAATCATGTTGTCTCTGTCATCAGGTTCCCGAGATTCAAGTATAGCCTTGTGGTCTACAACAGAAACACAAAACATTGAAGAAAAGACTCTGTCCAAGAATGTCTACCTCTCCAAAGGCAGATGGCGGGAGTCCTCAGTCCGGCACTACTCTGAGGACGAGGAATCATGGTCCTCGTCACCAGAGAGGCTGGACTCCTACCAGAGTGGAAGTGAAGACAGTGCTTACAGCTCAGTAGAGGACGTGTCCAATCACACATGTCTGAAGGATGTTGCTCGCAAGTATTGCCAAGACAAGGACAAGGTTCGAGCACTGCAGGTGAACGAATTTAAGAAGGTAGGTTTCTAATTTAATGTACAACAGAAATGTAAGCACAGCGCTCACAGCACCGCTGCACGCTAATCTAGCCCCTATTGAAAAGAGGTCAGCAGTGCACTGAGCCAGGTTCGTGAACAAAAGACAGTTATACAACTCGGCACAATCTGGGCTCTGTTTACAAGGTTGCAGGCCTGGCTGAAATACTCGGGTGTCAATGAAGGTCATCTGTCAACTGAGAGTAGTGCCTAAAGATTACTTCGTGCGGCTATAAATGACCGTTAAATGAAATGATTAATTTTTGAAGGATTTTGAAAATGCAAAATATGATAGTCATGCCGGCCCAGCATCATCAACATTGAAAAATACCCCGGCATGAAGTGGTTAAACATGGAATGGTCACCAACAGTCAGATCATAGTTCTGGTTGATACTGTAACCAATCAAATTCCATCAACAGACAAAAGCATGCCTTTGGTAGACATAGACATGGCTGGCTTATCCATCACTGACAATCAAAACACAGCCATATCAAGTGATATTAACAAAGCCAGTCAATTTTGCTTTATGTATTTAGGTAGGGGACTCTAAACTGATTGATTTCGACTGAGAGGACAACTTTGTCCAGAAAAGATGTTTGCTTCTGCAGGAGACCTAATGAGTGTATTGTCAACTTTGGTAGTGAGATACACTTATTGCTCAGTTTGCCACACAATGAAAATAGACATAAGTGAAAATATTGCCAGTTCATTTTATTTGCATTTTCAAAACCATTGGATGGCCTGCAAATTGAACTTGTCCCCATGAACTTCCAACTCATTTTGGTTGGATCGATGTCATATCACATTTTCACAGCGGCGAGAGCTGTACCAGGTCATATGCTCAAGCATCATATATTTCCCATGAACCTCTGAACTGCTGTTCACTGTAGCAAAAGAAAAAGAAAAAAAAAGAGAAAAGAACACCATGCTGTAACCCCAGCTATCCTTGATATCAAAAGTGGCAGCCTGCGAAGAATTGCTGGAGACGGGTTGTAGATTTCAAATTGTCTGCTGCTTAGTTGTGTCATGCTGAAATCATTCGGTCTCAAGAAATCTGCAGTGTAAATGAAAAGAAGTCTACAGCCGTTAATAAAACGTGTCAACTTTACCAGGATCTGGCTGTGCTGACGTCAAACGGGTTCATCTACACCATCGACATGGAGACTTTCGATCAGCTAGATGTGGAGCACCTAACGTACTGCCAGGAGAATGTCTGTATAGCCCTGTCTCGAGACTACTCCCTCTATGCTGTGGGGTCACAGTCCCACATCACTTTCCTGGATCCCCACTCACTGAAGTCCATCACATCTATATGCTCTAAGGAACGAGGAAGCGGTAAGTGCTGTGCAGTCTTTTGAAGCCTGTACCAAACAGTATGACCAAGTTTGCCAATGGTGTCATTTGCAGATTGTGTCACCTACACTTAGTGGACTAAGCTAGTTCACCATAAGGTTTTTCCCCCTTCGGGGGTCAGGGTTATCCATAACCAAAATGAAGAGGAAGTTGTTAAAATGTGTTCATAGTTCAAGAAAAATGAGTATTTTCACCCAGTTTTCCTAACTTCATGAGAAGAAAGGAGTTTCCACACTAGTTATGTATTGTGTAAAACACGAGTGTCTTTGAATGTGCAACCAAGATGAAATGAGCCCTAAATTCTTGAATAAAAGTAGTTTTCCAACCTTTAATATCCTCCCCCAGCATTTTTGCTCAGAACCTTTGGCAATTCTCAAAAGTCCTTTACTCTGCAGTAATCCGGTGACCCGTTCTTGGTACTCAAATGTGAGGAGTTATTGGTTGGGCTGTACCCTCCTCAAAACCTCCAGAATCCTCCCAGACTTTATGGTGGATTTTGAAGCTGCAGGCAGGGTGTGGGTAAATTTGATCTTATTTCTGTGACTTTTGTCAGTGAGTCTTTAACAGCACTTTGCTGTTACCTGTCTCTAGGTGTCCGTTCTGTCAGCTTTAGGGAAGAGATTGTAACCATAGGCACTGGCAGGGGTACTATACGCTTCTTCGATATCCGGGCCGGTCGCTATCTTCCAGATGAAGCACGGCCCAAGAAGGAATGCACCCTTCGAACGGGGCAAGGACACCTGGTAAGACACAACACCAAATTCCTCTGCTGGTGTATTCTCAAGCAGATGAGTCTCTTGAAAATTTTTGAAATGAACACCACAAATGGCAGTGCACTTTTGGAATGAACAGAATTTCGGTAAATTCTTTTGATGGTTTAATTTGTCACGTCCAAAAATGCAGGCTAGTGTTCAAATTTGTTTGAAAAGAGCAATTGGTTGGTCCATTTTAATTTGGCATCAAATGAAAAACAAGTGAAATACATTTCATTACCCTATTCATACTTTTAAAAATCAAGTTTATGAATTGAAAATCCTCTACTTTATTGCCTGATTTGAAACATATCAGGCTCATATGAAAGCTTTTGCATTGAGACTGTTCAAGCAACATTGTACCGTTTGAGATGCTGCCTTATTTAGTTTAATGTTTCCTTTTAGAATCGAGATGACATGTATTTCCAGCACTTCTACGGAGAGCAACATGGGAACGCAGCGTACACTCACGCTTATGATAAATCCGGAACCAGACTATTTGTTGCCGGAGGCCCCCTTCCAGCAGGACTCTCTGGAAATTACGCTGCATTGTGGCAGTAGCCCACTGTAACACGAACCACACGAGGACATTGTGAGGCACAAGGTGTTGGGATTTTGAATGCAAGAAGGAGAAATAGTTGATGCCCAGTGGTGCTACTGGTGTGTATTCCTCACTGTAAAGATAACTTACGCTGCAGGAAGTTAAATCTTTGGTGTCTGACAAACTTGCAGCTGTACAGAACTTACAGTATGGATAACTGAGGAACCTGCAAGTGGAGGATTTTTCATCGAGTATTTTCACAAGCATTTTGGAGCATGTGTGCACTGAAGTGGCAGCATGAAAGATCGTCACTCTGGCATGAAGTTGCATACATATTTTTGTTCGGCAATTTTCAGCAATTATTTGATGAGATTATGTGGATATTTATATACCCCTTTTGTCGCAAAGGTTTTGCTCATTCACCCTATGTTAACAAGCCACTTTGGAGAAGTGAAGCGTGACGTTATTTTGAACCAGGAAGTGTAGTGGAAATGAAGTACGTGAAAGTGGTTCACGCTCTGGTACTAATGCCTATTACACACATAATTGTGCACGTGACATATTCACTTCAGTACTCTAGCAATACCACAGATCAAGGTACCACTTGCTTCAGGCTTAGTTCTGGCAAATTGCTGACCTGAGCTGGATGTCCAGAAATTTATGACATGCTGACACAGTTGCAGTACCACAGTGCTGAAAAGGAGGGATGCATCAATTATATAAAGTGGCTGTCCTTAAACAGGTGGTTTGATTAGGAGAACTGTGTACTGACTTCGACGAGATGTTGCTAACAGCCAGAAACGCTTTGGTGTGCACTCATTTTGCTGATGATCAAATGACAGAATTTCTTTCACAGAAACCTGCGTCATTGTTTGGCTTGCCATACTGTGGAGATCTGCATGCCAAAACTTCGAGACACTTGTGACGTATGTGGCACTGCTATCAGAGAGATCATCAAAACTTATCATCTAAAAATTTACAAGTCCTCTGCTTTTGTCCTTCACCTACCTACTTGGGATACTAGTACAAGACTGAGGGTACTAGTGCAAGACTGAGGGTGCTAGTACCAGACTGAGGGTACTAGTACAAGACTGAGGGTACTAGTACAAGACTGAGGGTGCTAGTACAAGACTGAGGGTGCTAGTACAAGACTGAGGGTGCTAGTACAAGACTGAGGGTACTAGTACAAGTGCCCTCATGAGACAGTTTGGACATGACTGGCTGTCAAGACCGAGTTGATGACAATACATTAACTTCAGTCACAGTCACTGGTGTTACTCAACAAAGTTAGGCTTGCACCAGAGGTCCAAGTTAGAACTGTGGGTACACAGACGTACAGCAACTTATCTCAAAAAACCCAAAACTGCACTGACATTGATGACAGAAATTATACAAGAATCTACTCACAGATAAGAAAGTCAAGGAATTTTATAGGCGTTACAACTGTTGTCGGGTACAGATCTGCATGATATATTGACAGTAAGGTGACTCCGGATGTTGGGTGAAATGGTAGAATTTTCATGTAGAGTGAGTTTATCAATGGGTGATCTTGCTTTTTCATAAATTTCTCCTCTCAATTTCAACCAAACTTTACGTGTACATGAAGATTTTCAACCTATATTGGAGGAAGGATTGTCCCGAGAACTTGCAGTATCAGCCACTGTAAGTCTAGGAATGGAAACCTGTTCCACCTGTTTAAAAGCATGAGCCCAGTCCCATTTGCACGCTTTAGGTTGTTGAAAAAGATCGACAATGCTCTCAAGTCCTCCTTGTACATTGGAAATAACCACACCACCCCCTCTTCCTGCTCGGTTTCCCCTAAAAATTGCACCGTAAAAGGATGTCAACTGGTCAAGTAGAAATTGTTCACTCCAAAATTCAACTTACAATGTATTTAAGCAACATCCAGTGTGCTTGTACCAAAGGTATTTTTTGACTAGCATGCCTGTATATTGATGTTGACATCAGTCTCATTTTTGAAGCGAGGTTTGGTGCACTTTCTTGAAATTTGGGGTTTTTATACTACATAATTATATAAATTCCTTAATGGTAAGCACTGATGTCATCAAGGCAGCAACTACACCCATTAGTTTAAGGCCATTTTTATATGAACTGAATGAAGTAGTAAAACTTTCATTTAGCACTTTAACATGCCATATTTACATTTGTCCCTCGATTACATTACTGAAATGTGGGACCTGCTTACACAGACAAGTAAAAATGGAAACAGTGACAGTGGTGTGCCATGTGATATTTTGCACTTGTGCTCGGGGCGGACGCCCGTTGTGCTCAAAGATCATCATGTGAATTACTTTCCACTTTGACAGCGGCCCCCCACAGGAACAAGCGAAGACAAGGAAACACCCAGCCATGCCAATCAGTCCGTAGTGTCATACTTAACGAGACCACTAAATGGCCGGAGGACTAAGCGCAGTATCTTTGAAAAATCACGTATTTTACTGAATACGGTGGTTTAATGTTCAGTGTTTTTGACAACTCAGAAATAAGTTACCATTTGTCTGTGAAAAAGGGTCCATAACCAGCCGCCTTTTGAAAAAGCAAGGTTTAGCCCAAGAATGATAAGTCACGATTGCAATTCAAAGGATGCTTGCGGATTTTGTTCAGATTATCAATTAGCCCATAAAATGATCCAAACAAATTGTGGAAGCATGTAATGGGTTCCATTGGTCGTATGACATCTCAGTGATAGTCCCAGATTTGTCAATTTGTTTCAAAACAGCCAAGTAAGCTATTTTGGTAAAGTTCTTGAAAGCAAAAAGATCTTTTTTGTATAAAAAGAGATATTTGAAATACTTTGTTGCATGTATTAGAGAACTAATGTTTTAAAGAGCTCAATTGTCTGGAATTTTTATTGAACCGGATTCTCATATTTTTATATGCCACGTACATTTACGACGTGAAACATGCCATGGCACATCAAACCATTTTGAGAGTGCTTTGGCTGCCAGTTTGCCAGTTCTCCTCGTGTCCCTTACTACAACGAATTGATTCAAGTTTACATAAATAAACACTTTAAATCTCAGAGAAAAAAAGCCGCCACTAGTACCATTTCACTCAATGGTTTTGAAAGACAGCCCTCAGTTACAACATAAAAAAACAAAAGTAATAAAAGATAAGTTTAAGTTGTCTCGCAGTGTCTTATTTCTTTGTCTAAATTTATCCTTGGTTACTTCACAAACGGTAAACAAAGCTGTAAATACCTATTTTGTAAACATATTTATTGCTGAAATTTATTTGGCGTATGATTCCTTTGATTAAATATTTTGTACGATTCATTTTTATGTACAGACACCAGAGTGATTTTATTCAGATGCTTCTGTGTACACATGCAGTGTGTCCCTGTTCTCACAGAATGCACAAATAAATACCAACTTTGTATGTGACGGGGGTCTTTGTACTTTGTGTACTTTTAGCGTGTAATAAAAGGACGAAACTTTCTATTTTTACTTATGCACATCTGTACATTTTTGACATAAAATTTGTCTCTAACAAAATTTGAACTGTTTAATTTCAACTCTGCAGTTCTGCCCAGCTGCCCCATGTTCCGCACTTGTTCTTGCCTGATTTTGTTGGATTCAACACCACACCTTATACATATATTTAAGAGCCAAATTCTCAACGGTCCATTCACCGTCTCGTGCCACTCACTGTTTCTTAGATGTGCATGTGAGGATCCATACACAAATCAAATATGCTAGTATACTTAAAACTGCGCCCCGACAATAGTTCAGTGGAACTGTCACATGGGTGAGGTTTACATGCGCAAGCATTGCCTTAGCTACATTTCATTTCATGGTGGTTATGCCACTTTTACCTCATCCTGAACATTTTACTGGCAACTGAATACATGTATGTTTCATAAATAGTAAAACAAATATACCATGATTAAGTTGGAATGAATAGTCAATATTACCATACCTCGTACATATTCACCCTACTGAAAATATCCAATTCATTTACCTATTGAGACCTATTCACTTACCCATTGTATCCAATTCACTTTTTTACTAATTCAATAACGAATTCCAAAACCACCTGCGTTTGCTTGGAATCGATTGGAATCCAATTGGGTTCAATTGGTTTGAATAGTAAATTCGGACCTTTTCTCAGTTGGACCATTTCAAACCAATTGACACTATTTGAATGCCAATTCACAATCCAACTGTAACCAACCGAACAATCGATTGAAACCATTTTAATACCAATTGCGTCAAATTTGGAATCTCCAATTGATGGGGGAAAACAAATGGGAGAGAAAACATACCAACTGAAACCAATTGATTGCCAACTGGACCCAATTCATTCCAATTAAATCCAATTCCAAAATCAATTGGATTGAATAGGCCATTTTTAGTAGGGCATCAAAAATCAAACTCTCACTCATTCATTTATCATCACGTGCAAGGTGCCATTTCTGCAGTTTATCAGACACAAGAAGGGATCTTCACGTAACTCATGTACACATTAGTACTGAACTTTTCCCATAGAAATGTCACAAGAATACACAGGCATGAGCATAGCCACACCTATGCTATATGTACATGCACACTGAACATGAACAGGTGGTAGCATATGTACATGCTGCCTTTCCCTTCCTCCTGAAAACTGGAATTGAGTGTGTCTTAGGTTTGGTAAAGCAGACAGTGTGGCTTCATTTGATTGGATGGTCAACATGAGCTCCCCTTGGTGTTGCAAGTTGGGAAAATTCCCTCGGCTTTATCTTGGGAACTAGTTTGTTAGTTTGTCGACTTCCAAAACTTGGGGTGCAAAAATCAATTCATTCTTTCTGTATAAAGATTGAGCCATTGATTTCCTGAACAGTATAAGATTTTGGTAGATGAGGGAGTAAACTTTCCCCTTAAAGGCATAAATAATTGGCAATGCCAATCTTTGGGAATGGAAACAGAAAAATGATAATCATTTCAAAAAGAAAAACCATTTTGCATCCCTCCCTACTCAAAACCTGAAACTGGGGTTCGGTCTTCATTAAAATAGAACATACAGAAGTCTGGAAATGAAACTCTCATGGAGTCATTATTATTTCAGAGAAAGAATTACACGTTTTAGTTCCCATAAAATCCCATTACTATTGTTCTAGTTCCTCTGTGAATGCCACTTCGAAAATCCCAGCGTCAATGGCATCTAAAACTAGATTAAATGTCCAAGGTAACGGACCTATTCCATCACAAGTCAACTACAATCAAGTCTTGGAGCAAAGTATACATGGACATGTATTTATTAAGAGACCAATACAGGAATACCCTTTTTTGGTTATTTCTGTTGTCATAGATCATGTAAAGTAGGAGATTGATGGCAACTTTAATTCAGAAAACCTCTAAACATATTATATATAACGGGTTTGCCCTTACCCAACGTATATTAATAAACACTGTATGC